GGGGAGGGCGGGTGGGAGAGACCAAGACCGCTGTATGTGGTCGTGGCTGGGTAAAAGAGAGAGCGGAACGAAGGGGAAGGTTGAGGTGTATGGGAAGTAGAGGCATAGTGAGGAGGTGGGGCTGCCGGAAGGGAGGAAGAAGGAGAAAATGAGGTTATAGCAGGTTGGGTGGGTGGAACGGTAGAGGTATGGGGCTGGATGTTGCGGAGTTCGTCAAGAATGAGGGACTGAAAGGCGGATATTTGGTTGGTGATTTGGGTTTGGAAGGCAGAGTTGGAGGAGGAGAGGGAAGTGAGGGAGGTTTGGATGTCCGTCTGATGGGCTTCGAGAGAAGAGACGGAGTCGACAACCCCATCAAGTTGGGATTGGAGGTGGTCGTGGCGAACATCAGCAGTGGCGGCACTGAGGTCCTTATCAGAGATCGAGAGGTGTGGGGTTTTGCCCATGAGGGCTCTGATACCAGTTGATAGAGTATGGCTTACAGAAAGATAGAAAGAGCAGAAATAGTAAGGAAATATGTTAATGAAAGAGTAAGGAAACGAAAGAAAGTTGCAATTGTCATTCAGCTTTTCAAACCAACGGCACATTACATCTTTATAGTTATAGACAAGGAAACCCTAGATGATTGGGGACAGGTGGCGACAATCCCAAGGTAGATCTGCTACTCAGTATTATTCTCTTAGTGCTAAGGAAAAACAGAAAACACTGGTCCCATAACCAAGTGGGCCTTCGAGATACTGGGCTTGAAGGTTTGAGAAGAGAGGGTGTATCAAATCAAAACCCTCCCGTTTCCAAAACATGGCCACTCTCGGCGGAGTCCACGAATCCCATGCCTCACAGAACAGCCTCGAAACCGAAGACCTCGCTCGCTTCGCCGTCCAAGATCACAACAACAAGGAGGTCTTTACTCTTTTTTGCCTTTTAATTTCTACAATATTATGCTGGAATTTCAATTATTTAGATAATTAAGAAATTAATTCAAAATTGTACAGAATGCTCTGCTTGAATTCATGAGGGTGGTGAAGGTGAAGGAGCAAGTGGTTGCTGGCACTCTGCACCATCTGACGATCGAGGCAATCGACGCTGGTACGAAGAAGCTTTACGAAGCCAAAGTCTGGGTGAAGCCTTGGATGGGGTTTAAGGAAGTGCAGGAGTTCAAGCACACTGGTAAGTGTGAGGAAACGCCGTCGTTTACCCCTTAAATGAAATAGAATCATTTTTATTAAATTTAGTTTAGGGACTGGAATTATGATTGGCTAAACGATTTTTGATTCGGTCACCTATGTAAGGGCCTAAATGAGTTATTAGAGTCGTTTTAATTTATGATTAATATAATTCTATACTTCTCTTGTAATTAGCAAACCTATCTTTATCATGATCAGAGCCCATGATTGAGTTAACCTTGTAGTCAGTCACGTGTGTGGAACAGATTATTGTGGTTTAAACAGTCCCCGTTACGTTGCATGTGAACGGGATCTTCGTAATATTCTACACTCGATGCATTTGGATTTGTGACTAACTTAATGTTGATATGCCTATGATCATCCAATTAATGGGGGGCTTGTGAAAAATGAAATGCAAGTTGGTTTGCAATTCTCTATTTGTTTCGTGGTTTTTTTAGTCAATCTGTTGTAGTCGTGGTTTCGGAATGTGGCATGAGCTCAATAATGCTGGCAATTGCTTGGAAACCCTAAAATTGGGCCAAGCTATGGTGGCCGTTGGTACGAAGGAGAAGATACATGAAATAGGCCCAATGAGAGGAAGTGGAAGTCCTTAGCGGGCAGGCTGTGCATATATATCAGCCAGCGAAGAAAATCTCAAAATAACATCATGCTAAGCATACTATATTTGCATACTACTTTTTTAATAGATGTGATACACAAGGTGGTATATAAATGTGATATAGCTAGTATTTTCGTTCGTATACTTACGAGGAAGATGGATCTTAAAGTAAATAATTCATTTTTGTTGTCTCAAACCCTACCACGTTTCTTGGTAAGCATAAACGACGACCCTCCACAAAGAAAAGCCATGGTCCTAGATTCTTGATTAAGTTGTTTGTAAATATATAAAAACAGCAATGAGCTAATGCTTTTTGTTAGAAAAAACAATTATCAATGACTGATTAAAACAATTATATAAACAGAATTTATAACAATCTGTAACACAGAATACAGTATATGAACAATAAATAAAACTGACTTGAATTTGAGATAGAGGCTTGCAGATTTGATGCAATGTCCTAAAGACAGTAATTTCACCCCTTCTCGGTGCTTGAAGTTCTACAGGTGACTGCCTCCCAGGATTCAACTATCTGTATTCTAAGCCCTAGCACTCGGACTTAGAATCTGGCGAACGTTGTTTGTTTTCCTCTCAGACAATATGAAATGCTTGTAGAATGCTTTTTTCTATGTTCAACGTATGAGGCCTTGTTTGGTTTAAATAAACTTCTGAAACCTTATCAGAAGAGTCCCAACTGTTAGAAAACAGTTAATAAAACTAATCCGAATTAATAAAAAATTATTAATTCGAAACCAAAATATTATATATTTTTATATAATATTCAAAGCCCAAATCGATTTTGAAACCCAAATTGCTTCAACTTGGCCTACTTCCATTTACTAAGTGTGGCACTTCCACACTTATAAGGACCTCACTCTTTCTACGTTCTATCAATGTGGAACAAAGGTTCTTGAATTTCATTCAAACTTCTAACATTTTCAATGTCCAAAAAAGAAAAACTGAAAAAAGAGAAGCAAACGATCAATGCTTATTATATAGATGATGTGATGTGACTCTTCTTATATAAATGATGCTCCTCAATAATGATCGTTCAAGGACAGAAAATTAACAGTGTCAAAGAAACCGTGTAGGGTCATCCGCGTTACAAAAGCATTTGGGTTCTTCTTGTTTTTTTTTGTACAGAGAGTAATGATCTCATTCGAAGAATCCAAGTCAATGAAATATTGAGAGTCACATAATATCTCAAGTTCTCAACAGCCCTTCAAAACTTGCTTCAAAACTGAACCAGAAGATCCATAATCCTTTACAAAGAATCTAAACATGGCTGTAGCTTTGGTTGGAGGGGCTTTTCTCTCTCAGCTTCCTTGCAGGTGCTGTGCAACAAGATTGGTTCCCGTGAATTCAAGGACTTACTCAAAAGTAATTAGGGTTTAAACTAATATGTTATTCTTCTCTCAAGGAGAGAGAGAGAGAGATATATATATATATATATATATATATATACACTACATACATAGTGGGTACAAATAGAACATTGACTTTAACTCATGCCAACACTCCCCCTCAAGTTGGTGCATAGATATCAGTAATGCCCAACTTGTCAAGTGAGTCTTCAAATCAGTGCTTTGACACAGCATGGGTCAACATATCTGTAAGCTGCTCCGAAGAAGGCACAAAAGGTAGAGAAATTAACTTATGCTCCAGCTTCTCCTTAATGAAATGCCGATCAACTTCTACATGGTTAGTTCGATCATGTTGCACCTGATTGTTAGCAATTTCAAATGCAGATATCACAGTGGAGCTTTGTAGCAACATCTGGTCTAAACCCAATTTTAGCAAGTAACCATCTTAACCACAGTATTTCACAAACCCCTTGGGCAATTCCTCTTTACTCAAACTCTGCAAAGGAATGAGACACAACATTTTGCTTCTTGCTATGCCACATAACTAGGTTACCGCCAACAAAGGTGAAGTAACTTGATTTAGAACGTCTATCTATAATATTCCTTGGATAATCTGCGTCAGTGTAACCTCCTAGATCCAAGTAACCATTTTTCTTAAGTATTAAACCTCTTCCAGGAGCAAACTTTAAGTAACTCAGAATATGCATCACAACAGCCATATGATATTCACTAAGGTTAATGCATAAATTGGCTAGCAACGCTTACAGTATAGGCAATATCAGGGCGTGTCAGTGATAAATGGATCAATCTCTCAACCAACCTTTGGTATCTTTCTTTGTTAGTTGGGATCTGATCCACATAAACCCCTAGTTTATGATTCTCAACAACTGGTTTACAGTCAAGCATTCTAGTATTTGCTAGCAGGTCCATGACATACTTCCTTTATGAAATAAATAAGCCATGTTTAGATCGAGTGACTTTCACTCCTAGAAAATATTTCAAACTGCCCAAATCTTTCATCTCATATTTTTCTTTTATGTTGTTAGATTCCCTTTTTATTATTCCATGTCTATTTTCTTGTACATACTTCTTGTTGGCAATTAATATTCAGAAGCTACAAGAGTTGGGGGTTAACTAGAGAAATTAATTTGCTGGGTTAGTTATTCAAATTGTCCTCAAATTTATACCCGAGTTTCATTTTGGTCTCTCAATTAAATTATTCATTCAAATGGTCCACCAACTCTTTATTAATCAGTGCATTGGTCTTACAATTATATTTTCTGTTAAATTAGTTATGTGAGCAACACATGTTAAAAAAATAAAATTATATGATTCAAAATTAATTCAAAATTTTCTTTATTTTTAAAAATAATTTAAAACTATAAACGAATAAAAAACAACAAAAAGTAACCCTAAAAAAAAATCAGCCCCACCCAACCCCTATCTCATCGTGGGTCTACAACAACCTCTCTCTCTCTCTCTCTCTCTCTCTCTCTCTCTCTTCTTGAACAAACCTAGAGCCTTGCAGCCCCAACATTAAACATTTGAAGAGAGAAATAGAGGGAGATAGAGGGAAGAGGTGGAGGGGACAATGAGGGAGGGGAAGAGATGGTGGGCTGTAGGGAGGAGAAGATGGGGCGCTAGGGTGCTGGGGCAATGGTTATTAGGCTGGGGGTTGGGAGGTGGGAGAGGGCGATAGTTTTTTTGTACTTTTGGTTTTTAGTTTTTAATTTGTTTACTATTTTATTTTACTGGACTATTTTACCCCTATATTTGACGGCAATATTGACAAAATGTAACGGTAGGACCAATGCGTCAATTAATAAAGTGTTGGTGGACCATTTGAACAAATAATTTAGTTAATGGACCAAAATGCAATTCGGGTATAAATCTGAGGACCATTTGAGTAAATAACGTATTCTAAGATCAATCTAACAAACCAATTCTTAATTTCTTCATACTTGAACTTAGGAGTAGCTAGTTGAGCTCAGATATGCATGAAAATGAAAGCACCTTTGAAAGGTCGCCGTTTGCAATTGGACCTACAGTTCCATTTCACTAGAATTTTGCTTTTTGTTGTATCCTTTCCCTGAACTCTAGACTTTCTGCGTATCACTCCCAATGAGAACTAACCCGACTTGACCCAATTTGGCTTCGTGTATTTTAAAATTTCAAGCTAACTGCAGCTTCTAATGGAAGCCCTTCTTTTAATTACATGTTAATTCTTAGCGAATAACTAACGCCAAGAAGTCGAGTCATTTATAGCAGGGGATAGATCATAGCTTTGGTGTTGGCCTTCTAAGCAAATAGTATTCTGAAGGGTATAATGCACGGCAACACAGATATACACAAATTTTCAATACCCCCATTATCCATCAATTCTTTCCAATTAACTAATTTTTGGTTCTCCTTTGAGTCTACTTGTTTGTCTTCCAAAAAAATAATGAAAGTATATGTATTCAGAACATGAGAAGGAAAAAAATAGAATAGGGTACTTCTCTGCTTGTTCATTTTCTTCTTCTTTTTATGCGTGATGTCGTAAATTCAATATCTTGCTTTTTTTACAAAGAGATTTGATATAAATAAAATAAAATAAAAAGAAATGAAGGAAAGTAAGCCAAAACTAATAAAAGGAAAAAGAATCAGCACCAATGACATTTTACAAATGTTTAATCAAATTGTGCACATTTTGCATTAGTAGATTTCAATAAATAAATAAATAAATAAATAAAAACGAAGAGTAGGAATGGGTAAGGGGTTTGGCAGCTACCACGATTTCATTGGATTGGGATAATGATGCGGATGGCTGACGCTGAATCGCGTGAGAGGGAAGTTTTTCTCCCTCTTGTGGGGAGAGACAAAAGTGTCAAAACCATGTGGGGTCCCCACATTACAAAAGCATTTGCTAATTGTCTCATTGGAAAAGCCTAAGTCAATGAAATGAGTTATTATTATTATTTATTTTATAGTTCAGAGCTTTCAAAACTTATTAAATGGAAATTGGGACATCACAAATGACCTTCCGTTGTTTGTTTATGTTATTCTTGGATTGCTTA